GTACAAGGCAGATGCAAGTCACATCGAACACAAAATGGATCGACAACGAATCTGTCCATGGATATAACCATCTCTCTCCGTCTATCCTCTCTCACCTCTCCCCTGTGTAGATAGTTACCTCTCCCTTAAAGATAAGTTCCAGCTCATGCGCTACGGAAAAAATGAAAATATAAAAACGGAAATCACGTACAAAACTCAGTCAAATCATAACATAGAACGAAAGGCAATGTAAAGGATCTGGGTGTACTCATGTCGGAAGACCTTACCTTTAAAGAACACAATAAAGTAGCCGTCACAACTGCAAGAAAAATGACAGGTTGGATAACAAGAACCTTTCACACTAGAGATGCTATACCGATGATGATACTTTTCAAGACGCTAGTGCTCTCTAGAGTGGAGTACTGCTGTACAATGACAGCCCTGCTTGATACCTGCTTGATGGGGTTCTGGGACTTCTACTCCCCAAGCCCGGCCCGAGGCCAGGCTTGACTTGTGAGAGTCTGGTCCACCAGGCTGTTGCTTGGAGCGGCCCGCAGGTCCACATACCCACCACAGCCCGGTTGGTCCGGCACTCCTTGGAGGAATAAATCTAGTTTCCTCTTGAAAATGTCCACGGTTGTTCCGGCAATATTTCTTATGCTTGCTGGGAGGACGTTGAACAACCGCGGACCTCTGATGTTTATACAGTGTTCTCTGATTGGGCCTATGGCACATCTGCTCTTCATTGGTTCTATTCTACATTTTCTTCCATGTCGTTCACTCCAGTACGTCGTTATTTTACTGTGTAGATTTGGTACTTGGCCCTCCAGTATCTTCCAGGTGTATATTATTTGATATCTCTCTCGTCTTCTTTCTAGTGAGTACATTCTAGTGAGTACATACATCACAGTGTTCAAGAGAGAACTATCAACATCAGAGGCCCGAGACTGTTCAACACGCTTCCACTACACATAAGGGACATAACTGGCCGACCCCTCACAGTGTTCAAGAGAGAACTATCAACATCAGAGGCCCCGAGACTGTTCAACACGCTTCCACTACACATAAGGGGCATAACTGGCCGACCCCTCACAGTGTTCAAGAGAGAACTATCAACATCAGAAGCCCGAGACTGTTCAACACGCTTCCACTACACATAAGGGGCATAACTGGCCGACCCCTCACAGTGTTCAAGAGAGAACTATCAACATCAGAAGCCCGAGACTGTTCAACACGCTTCCACTACACATAAGGGACATAACTGACCGACCCCTCACAGTGTTCAAGAGAGAACTATCAACATCAGAGGCCCGAGACTGTTCAACACGCTTCCACTACACATAAGGGGCATAACTGGCCGACCCCTCACAGTGTTCAAGAGAGAACTATCAACATCAGAAGCCCGAGACTGTTCAACACGCTTCCACTACACATAAGGGACATAACTGACCGACCCCTCACAGTGTTCAAGAGAGAACTATCAACATCAGAGGCCCGAGACTGTTCAACACGCTTCCACTACACATAAGGGACATAACTGACCGACCCCTCACAGTGTTCAAGAGAGAACTATCAACATCAGAGGCCCGAGACTGTTCAATACGCTTCCACTACACATAAGGGACATAACTGGCTGACCCCTCACAGTGTTCAAGAGAGAACTATCAACATCAGAGGCCCGAGACTGTTCAACACGCTTCCACTACACATAAGGGACATAACTGACCGACCCCTCACAGTGTTCAAGAGAGAACTATCAACATCAGAGGCCCGAGACTGTTCAACACGCTTCCACTACACATAAGGGACATAACTGGCCGACCCCTCACAGTGTTCAAGAGAGAACTATCAACATCAGAGGCCCGAGACTGTTCAACACGCTTCCACTACACATAAGGGACATAACTGGCCGACCCCTCACAGTGTTCAAGAGAGAACTATCAACATCAGAGGCCCGAGACTGTTCAACACGCTTCCACTACACATAAGGGACATAACTGACCGACTCCTCACAGTGTTCAAGAGAGAACTATCAACATCAGAGGCCCGAGACTGTTCAACACGCTTCCACTACACATAAGGGACATAACTGGCCGACCCCTCACAGTGTTCAAGAGAGAACTATCAACATCAGAGGCCCGAGACTGTTCAACACGCTTCCACTACACATAAGGGACATAACTGGCCGACCCCTCACAGTGTTCAAGAGAGAACTATCAACATCAGAGGCCCGAGACTGTTCAACACGCTTCCACTACACATAAGGGACATAACTGGCCGACCCCTCACAGTGTTCAAGAGAGAACTATCAACATCAGAGGCCTGAGAATGTTCAACACGCTTCCACTACACATAAGGGACATAACTGGCCGACCCCTCACAGTGTTGAAGAGAGAACTTGACAAACACCTCCAAAGAATACCTGATCAACCAGGCTGTGACTCATACGTCAGGCTGCGAGCACCCGCGTCCAACAGCCTGGTTGACCAGTCCAGCAACCAGGAGGCCTGGTCGACGACCGGGCCGCGGTCGGTCGCCCAGGTCGGTCGCTCTCTCGCTAAACCCCGAAATCATTGCAAGGTATCCGCAAGGTCCTTCTGTGTGGATGAAGCAGAATGATCCATCTGTATCCATCCACCTTATCCATCTATCTGCTCATCAATCTATCCATCCATCTTAAAAATATAATTCTTCCAATGGTGTATGGATAGTCGCTGGTGAGAAGAGCTTGGCAATGTAAAACACTGCAAAATATAATAGCTACCCCATTACACACAGAGATCACACTAACGTGATGCATCAAATGAACAAATCCACACGGGCCGTGACGAGGATTCGAACCTGCGTCCGGGAACACTGTCCCGGACGCAGGTTCGCAGGCAGGTTTAAATCCTGTCGTAGCTCAGTCGATTAAAGCAGTGTCTGGGATGCTCCCGGACGCAGGTTCGAATCCTCATCACGGCCCTTGTGGATTTGTTCAATAGTTACCCCCATTGACTCTGAGAACGGGGCTTTAAGAACCTTTGCAGCCGTGGGAGGGAATCGTGAATTTTATGTGACTACGGACAAATTATGAATAGCTGAAATTTTGTTTTTAATTTTCCCAATACCATTGACTAACGGTGTATTCTGTACATTATTATAAGGAAATAGGCGTATAGGGGGAAGGTATAGCAACCAGATATCAACAAGATAACATTATTTTGAAATGTTTTGAAGATATTTTGGTGTGAAGCCGGAGGGTATAGTGCCCAAAATGGGGGGGGGCAATTGGGGGGGGGGGTTAATGTGTGACCCCTGGCATGCTATTCCCTTTTGAATTTTGGTGACGTCCGTATATCCTATGTTCATCCCATACCCCAGACCATTCACTCTGCCAGTTGTGTGGGAGCTAGAGCTCCCAAAATGTCTAGTCTCCAACTTCGGGCTGTCGAGACATTCTTGTATGTGTGTGTGTGCGTGCGTGTGTGTGTGTGTGTGTGTGTGTGTGTGTGTGTGTGTGTGTGTGTGTGTGTGTGTGTGTGTGTGTGTGTGCGTGTGTGCCAAATGCCATGTATTGCTCCAATTTGGTGTGCATTATTGGCGTGGTGGTGAGGGCCTTGAGAGCGGTTGTGTGTGTGTGTGTGTGTGTGTGTTGAGTGTGGCGGAGTGGCCCCCCAGGCAGCGCCGCAGCTGTGAACTGTGTTGTGGGGTGTATCGATCCTGTGTGTGTGTGGGGGGGGGGAGGTGTATATGTGGATAAGGGTGTGTGTGTGTGTGTGTGTGTGTGTGTGTGTGTGTGTGTGTGTGTGTGTGTGTGTGTGTGTGTGTGTGTGTGCTTACCTAGTTGTGCTTGCAGGGCTCTGGCTCTTCGGTCCCGCCTCTCAACTGTCACTCAACTGGTGTACAGATTCTTGAGCCTATTGGGCTCTTATCACATCTACATTTGAAAGAGTCAGCCTCCACCACATCACTGCCTAATGCATTCCGTTTGTTAACTACTCTGACACTGAACAAATTCTTTCTAATGTCTCTGTAGTTCATCTGGGTATTAAGTTTCTACCTGTGTCCCCTTGTTCGCATACCAACCGTGCCAAATAGTTTGTAACTACTCTGTTAATTCGTCTTGAGAATTTTATAGATAGTGATCATGTCCACCCTAACTCTTCTAATTTCTAATGCCGTAAGATTTAATTCCAGTAAACTTTCCACATAGCTCATATCTCTCGGTTCGGAGACTATCCTGGTGGCATACCTCTGAACCTTTTCTACCTTTGTTTTGCCTTTGACTAGGTGTGGACTCCAGGCTGGAGCTGCATATACCAGTACTGGTCTGACATATGTGGTATACAAGGTTCTGAACGATTCCTTACACAAGTTTCTAAAGGCCGTTCTTATGTTTGCCAGTCTTGCATATGCCGCTGATGATATCCTTTTGATGAGGTCATCAGGGGACACGTCTGGTGAGATATCAACCCCCATATCTTTCTTTCTTCTTGAGTCGTGAAGGATATCCTCTCCCAGCTGGTACCTTGTGTTTGGCCTCCTTCTCCCTACGCTTATCTTCATCACTTTACACTTGCTCGAATTAAACTCTAGTAGCCATTTGTTGGACCATTCCTTCAGTCTGTCCAGGTCATTCTGTAGCCTCTTGCTGTCCTCCTCTGTCTTAATCCATTTCATAATTTTATCATCAACACACATTGAGAGGAATGAGTCTATACCCTCTGGGAGATCATTCACGTATATCAGAAACAAGATTGGGGCGAGTACAAAGCCCTGTGGGACTCCACTGGTGACATCACGCTAGTCTGAGGTCTCGCCCCTCACAGTAACACTCCGCTTCCTGTTGTTTAGGTACTCCCTTATCCATTGGAGCACCTTACCAGTTACTCCAGCTTGTTTCTCCAATTTATGCAACAGTTTCATATGGATTACTATGTCAAAAGCTTTCTGACAGTCCAAGAAAATGCAGTTTGCCCATCCTTCTCTTTCTTGCTTAATGCTTGGTCATAGAACTATTAAACCTGTGAGACACTTGCCTTTCCTGAACCCATGCTGGCGACGTGTTACAAAGTCCCTTCTCTCTCTCTCTCTCTCTCTCTCTCTCTCTCTCTCTCTCTCTCTCTCTCTCTCTCTCTCTCTCTCTCTCTCTCTCTCTCTCTCTCTCTCTCTCTCTCTCTCTCCAGATGCTCTATGAGTCTATTCCTCACGATCTTCTCCATCACCCAGCATGGTATACAAGTTAGGGGGAACTGGCCTGTAGTTTAGGGGGTGTAGCGTCTGAGGAGAAACAGCAGTGACTGTGGTGGTGTCAGTAGAGGCAGCCTGTCTGATCTTGCCGACACCCTGGGGAGTGTGGAGGGAGGAAGAATTTAAATAATGGTTCTCTCTGTCTCTCTTCTCTTCACTTCCGTTCTCTGTCTGTCTGTCTGTCTCTCTCTCTCTCTCTCTCTCTCTCTCTCTCTCTCTCTCTCTCTCTCTCTCTCTCTCTCTCTCTCTCTCTCTCTCTCTCTCTCTCTCTCTCTCTCTCTCTACATTACACCACAATAACGATAGACCGATTTCCGGACGGCCAGTCAAACGACCAGTTTAAATCCGCTTTACCGAATTGGAGGCCGGTTATCGATTACCGGTTCCGGCCCGGTTGGTGGCCGTCGTGACCGTTGTCTGGGAAGCTGAGGGTGAGGAACGGAAGGAAGAGGAGGGCCGATAGGAACAGGAGGAGAGAGAGAGAGGAGAAGGGAAAGAGGAGAGGGGCACTATAGGATACAAAAGAATAGGCAGAGAATGGATGGAAAGGGGGAGGAGAGTGAGGAAGAGGACTGGCAGGTATCAGTTCTCCCCTTCCCCCCTATTTCACCCTCTTTTTCACCCCCTCTTTACCCTCTTTCTCACCCCCTTTTTACCCTCTTTCTCACCCCCCCTCTTTACCCTCTTTCTCACCCCCCCTCTTTACCTCTTTCTCACCCCCCTCTTCACCTGTCATGGCACACTTAACTAACGCCAATGATTTACCCGAAGTGATGGTCCTCCCAGGCCGGGCCACGCTCCAGCACTTTCATGCTCCAGCACTTTCATGCTCCAGCACTTTCATGCTCCAGCACTTTCATGCTCCAGCACTCTCATGCTCCAGCACTTTCATGCTCCAGCACTCTCATGCTCCAGCACTCCCATGCTTCAGCACTTTCATGCTCCAGCACTTTCATGCTTCAGCACTTTCATGCTTCAGCACTTTCATGCTCCAGCACTTTCATGCTCCAGCACTCTCATGCTCCAGCACTTTCATGCTCCAGCACTCTCATGCTCCAGCACTCCCATGCTTCAGCACTTTCATGCTCCAGCACTTTCATGCTCCAGCACTCTCATGCTCCAGCACTTTCATGCTCCAGCACTCTCATGCTCCAGCATACTCATCCTCCAGCATACTCATCCTCCAGCTCACTCATGCTCCAGCATACTCATCCTCCAGCTCACTCATGCTCCAGCATACTCATGCTCCAGCATACTCATGCTCCAGCATACTCATGCTCCAGCATACTCATGCTCCAGCATACTCATGCTCCAGCATACTCATGCTCCAGCATACTCATGCTCCAGCATACTCATGCTCCAGCATACTCATCCTCCAGCTCACTCATGCTCCAGCATACTCATGCTCCAGCTCACTCCACTCCAACTATTACACTGGGTAAATTAAGGGTCCATAACACAATCGAATCTTCCCATAGTAGAAAAACAGCATGTAAAGGATTTGGGAATAATGATGTCTGACGACCTAACGTTTAAGGAGCATAACCAAGCAAATATTGCGTCAGCCAGAAAAATGATAGAATGGATTACGAGAACTTTCAAATCCAGGGATCCCATCACAATGGTTGTACTCTTCAAGTCACTTGTGTTGTCCCGTCTTGAGTACTACTCAGTACTCACTTCCCCCTTCAGAGCAGGAGAGATTGCTGAAATAGAGGGAATACAGAGAACGTATCCGGCACGCATAGACGCGATAAAGAACCCAAATTATTGGGATCGTCTCAAAGCTCTTCAAATGTACTCACTAGAAAGGAGACGAGAGAGATACCAAATAATATACACATGGAAAATATATTATACACATGGAAAATACTGGAGGGCCAGGTCCCAAATCTACACAGTAAAATAACAACATACTGGAGTGAACGACATGGAAGAAAATGCAAAATAGAACCAGTTAAGAGCAGAGGTGCCATAGGCACAATCAGAGAACACTGTATAAACATCAGAGGTCCGCGGTTGTTCAACATCCTCCCAGCGAGCTTAAGAAATATTGCCGGAACAACCGTGGACATCTTCAAGAGGAAACTAGATTGTTTCCTCCAAGGAGTGCCGGACCAACCGGGCTGTGGTGGGTATGTGGGCCTGCGGGCCGCTCCAAGCAACAGCCTGGTGGACCAAACTCACAAGTCAAGCCTGGCCTCGGGCCGGGCTTGGGGAGTAAAAGAACTCCCAGAACCCCATCAGCCAGGTACGAAGGGAGTACCTAAAGGAGAGAACACAGTCACAAAGGTTTTAAGCTGGAGGAATGTAACTAGTTAGGTCCCACAAGGCTCGGTCTTGGTACCACTGCTCTTCCCAATTTATATGATCGACAAACTCGAGGGAGTGAGTTCGAATATGTCAATGTTTGCAGATGACGCAAAGTTGTTCACTAATGTAAAAACAGAGGAGGACTGCAGGAAGTTAAGGAACAACTTGACAAACTCCAAAAGTGTGCAAAGTATGAGTCACAGCCTGCTTGATCAGGTATACTTTGGAGATGTTCAGGTTCTCTCTTGAACACTGTGAGAGGTCGGCCAGTTATGCCCCTTATGTGTAGTGGAAGCGTGTTGAACAGTCTCGGGCCTCTGATGTTGATAGTTCTCTCTTGAACACTGTGAGGGGTCGGCCAGTTATTCCCCTTATGTGTAGTGGAAGCGTGTTGAACAGTCTCGGGTCTCTGATGTTGATAGTTCTCTCTTGAACACTGCGAGGGGTCGGCCAGTTATGCCCTTATGTGTAGTGGAAGCGTGTTGAACAGTCTCGGGCCTCTGATGTTGATAGTTCTCTCTTGAACACTGTGAGGGGTCGGCCAGTTATGTCCCTTATGTGTAGTGGAAGCGTGTTGAACAGTCTCGGGCCTCTGATGTTGATAGTTCTCTCTTGAACACTGCGAGGGGTCGGCCAGTTATGTCCCTTATGTGTAGTGGAAGCGTGTTGAACAGTCTCGGGCCTCTGATGTTGATAGTTCTCTCTTGAACACTGTGAGGGGTCGGCCAGTTATGTCCCTTATGTGTAGTGGAAGCGTGTTGAACAGTCTCGGGCCTCTGATGTTGATAGTTCTCTCTTGAACACTGTGAGGGGTCGGCCAGTTATGTCCCTTATGTGTAGTGGAAGCGTGTTGAACAGTCTCGGGCCTCTGATGTTGATAGTTCTCTCTTGAACACTGTGAGGGGTCGGCCAGTTATGCCCCTTATGTGTAGTGGAAGCGTGTTGAACAGTCTCGGGCCTCTAATGTTGATAGTTCTCTCTCAGAGTACCTGTTGCACCTCTGCTCTTCAACGGGGGTATTCTGCACATCCTGCCATGCCTTCTGGTCTCATGTGGTGTTATTTCTGTGTGCAGGTTTGGGACCAGCCCCTCTTAATACTGTCCACGTGTAAAGTATTATGTATCTCTCCCGCCTGCGCTTTAGAGATTACAGATTTAAAATCATTAAACTGACCCAATAATTTAGGTATCTTATTGAGTGGATTCAGGCAGTTAAAGAGCTTAGCACGCCCTGCAGGTCTGCATTTTCTCAAGGTTTAATTGGAGTTTGCCCTAAAACTCATCTCGCAACCATACAGAATAGAAAACACAAAGGGATATGATCGCTACATATAAGATACTGGGGTGAGAAGACAAGGTGGACAAAGCCTCTTCTACTTGAGGGAAGAAGATATATCTTGATAAGAAGATATAAGTGGAAGCTAGAATGGAAATCATGTACGGGTGGTCCAGCTCGTTCTTTCATAAAATTACGTCGCTTTTCGCTCGTGTGCGTCACTCAGGCTAAAAATCGACGTATTTCAAAATAAAATCGGCTCCCGAAAGTGACGTACTGTACCGTTTTCTGTTTTGGGTCCTCTGGCTTACTCGGATAGGTTAGGAGAGGAAACTTTCAATTAACGGTTTGCATGACGTTTTGAAGCCTTAGGAGAACTTCCTGCCCTCCTAACCTGCCACAGGACCCCTAACTTGCTGTTTGGGAAGAAAAAAATCCAAAATTTAATTGAAAAATAAATTTTTAAATTCTAAAAATAAAGCGAAAAGCGACGTAGTTTGTAAAGAGGACGAGTTGGTCAACAAGTACAGTGTACTGATGGAAGGTGTGGAAGCCACCTCCTTCCACCAACGTTATAAGGTCTGATTCGACAATGAATTCGAACGTCTGAATTGTTACATTATAGCATAAAGGATACAACAGGGCTGGTAGTTTAGGGCATAGTGGGGGTAAGACCTAACTTTCCTGTAGTTATTGATTGGTGCCTTCAACCACCACCATCAACCACCATCATCAACCACCATCATCAACCACCACCATCAACCACCACCACCACCACCACCATCATCAACCACCACCACCACCACCACCACCACTAACACAGCCCACAGAAATACTGACAGGTTGCAGGGAACATATTTTGGTGATTGGCACCACCTTTTATGGGTGTGTGTGTAGCCATTAGTGGGGTCTGGGACCCCGTGGGCCGCCTCTCTCTCTGGTGGCCCGCCTACCAGGATGCAACCTACAACAGTTGTCTAGCTCCGCGGTACCCATATTACTACTAGGTGAACAGAGGCATCAGGTGAAAAGGGAAGCGTGGGCCTATCGTTGCTACCTCACCTGAGTTTTAAACTGCGGTTACTCGGTTGAGAGTCGAGAACGCAGACCACTCTGCTTCCACCCCCCTCCCTCTCCTGAGCTCAGAGGATGGGTATGGGGTGCATAATAAATGAACTAAAAAGCAACAACAACAACAGAGATGCGGAATATGTT